AAACTTCTTAAGCCCTCTAATGAGAGGTAGAAAGACTATTATGAGATAGATGATCCATGTGGTCGTCTTCCATGGCCTTATAGATCATGCAAGCTCTAGAATAGCTTTTTTCTTCTGAAGTGACTTCTTCCTTAAGCTTCCTTAAGCACAACCAACAGATTACCTTCAACATGGCTCTCTTCTGCCTCGGACATCATCTTCCTAACCATTAACAGCGTTTCATTGATCTTCATCAGTCTCATCCTCACTTTTTCTTCCTTTCTCAGATCATATTTGAAGCTATTCAGGATGTCTCTATCGTTTTTTTGTTTTTTCCTTTCTTCTTCTATTTATTTCTGCATTTGTCCATTCTCAAGCTTGGTAGAGCCTTGATCCTGGTGAGTAAAACAAGAAAAGAAGGTGTAGTAGGAACAGTGAGAGCAAGAAAGATGGAGACAATGAGGAATCAGCTGTCTCTGCTTCCTACTCTTCTTTCCCAGGTGATCTTTCTACCTGCTCTAAATTAATATCAAAGCCAGAGGGAGCAGAAAAAGGTTGCTGGGGGAGAAAATGACAACCTTAGGAAAAGAAAAATCATGATGCAGAAAAGCGTCTGTCCCCTGTCTAATTCCTGCAGTGGCCTGTAGCTGATGGTGCTGAGAAAAATACAGTGGCAAGCTCTGACATTTCATTTCTGTAGAGAATTGAAAAAGGGCTTGCTGTAATTCATTGCTTCTTGTAACTCAAACCCTTTTTGACAGGAGTACCTGTGCTGTCTTTTAACAGTGGCAGCACGGTGGCTGTAATTGGACATGAAAAATGATGTCGTGTTTCTACTTGCAGGGAGGATTGGGGTGGAGGTAGGTGGGGCAAGTGGCAAGTTGGTGTGAGATGATGACATCTGGCATTGTTTGAATGGGTTGGTTTTAGGCAAAAGGAAGGATAAGCCAAAATGAAGGGTGTGAAGTGTAGCAAGTACAATCATCTTGTCCCACGTGTGCAAAGGTCACAAAGTAAGGGTGGTTTTAAGCAGGGAAGAATGTACAAAGGATCAAAGAAAAATGAGAACCTGATGTCCTAACTCCTCCAAGAACCAAAGTGCTTATGGCATTTGTGGCAACCGCTTTTCCTGTTATGGGGACAATTCACAGCTGCAGTGGTACACAGTGCCCATAGTTCCAATACAGACAGGGAATATTAGACACCAGCTTTGCCTGAGGCAACACTGGGAACACAGCTGTGAGTAAAACTCTTGTTTGCCATTCACTTGCCACTCCTTTAAAAATTAGGCCTTTCATAAGTAATCAGAAACCCAATTTCTTTATTTTTTTGTTTTTTGACTAAATCACTTTGTGCTTCCATGGTCTTCAGCACACCTTTGTTATGGCACCACTGTTGAGTGAGGCACTTCAGAGTAAATTTGGGGCCAGTTTGGATTCTGAATCATGAATGGGGATAAATATTTTGTCCTGATTTACAATGGGTTTATGACTATTAAGCACTCTGGTACCGCAGTATCAGAAATCTTCGTAGTATATGTAGAGAATAAAAATTTTTTAGTCAGGTTTTAGATAATAAGAGGGAGGAGATAAACTCTTTCTGGCTTAACCAATGGTAAATCAATATACTTTTCTCAATGTGGCAGCCAAACAGGGATAATATAGAATAAGGAATCATAATCATATTTCAAAGGAGAGCCCAAAGACCACCTGTAGGCAGAGGAAAGAATGACTATTGCAATGGACAGAGGTGTAGCACATCCTAGAGAAGAGCCTAACAGAGTGCATCCAGTCTGTCTACCAGTTCAAATGCTGGATCAGCCTATCTAGGTCTTTCCTCATGTTGCCAAATCTCTTTTGAAGACTTCTAGTGACAGGGATGAGTCTGTAGTTCCTATGATCTCATGCAGATACCCATGGTATTAATCCTATTTGATGACTGGAAAAATCTTACTCCTCCTTTCACAATCTCAGAGTTTACCAAGACAGGACAGGTACTAAGCCCATGACAATTCCCAGCAGTAAGCCTGAACCCCTAAATTCCCTTCTCCCTAAAAAGGCATTTCCCCAGACTGGGGAAGGTACATCATTCTGCCATTTTATTTTCCCACTTAGCCTTTTTCTGCTCCCTGTGACATCTCGTTGCTCCCAGAACTTCTGTGTTTAAAAAATAAATAAATAAAATATTGTTCCATAGATGAAGAGAGGAAACTTAATTATTTTCCTCTCGGTGTTTCTTCCTATAATTGGTGTCTTTCATGTCAAGATGATCTCAATTTGTATTATGGGCTCCGTGCAGGCAGCACTTTCTCTTTGGTCTATAAAGAAATTGTCAAGTGTATAAATCATAGTGTACATTAAATTACACAGGCCTTTTACTTATTCATTTCCCCAGGTTTTTCTTCCTCTATTAGATGCTCAATCCCTCTCTCTTTTTTTAACTTTTCCTGGGAGTCATCTACTTTTTCTCATTTCCCAATCTCAGATAAAAAGACAAAAGAAACCCTAAAAGACACCCAAACAAATGTTTTGCTAATGGGTCTGATGATTTTCTCTGCCTTTTGCAAACTGACCACATGCGACTCTACATGTAGGAAGTTCTCTGTCTAGTTCTAATAAAGACTGGGTCTAAAGCTTACTGAAATCCAGTGTGGATTTTCATGGCCTTTAGCAAGCTTCCAATCCGTATGCACATTGGTAGATTTATGGAGTGTTCTGCATTGCAAAGCTGTACCCATTTTGGATTCCAGACATTGCCTGTCAGGGCTGTATGCTGCATACCTCCTATAAGTTCCTGGCTACAGTGAGTATTTCTCTTAGTGACTGCTTAGGTTTGGAGTTTGGGTTGTCTTGGAGTGGGTACCAGGGACCTCTGCCCACCCTTCTCTGGCCAGTGGAGTTAGATTAGCCATTTTGTCCACCATAGGCATCCATGATATACAGTGTGTGTGCAGCTGCAAAAGCAAACGGGTATCAAGTCAATCCTTGGTAAATAAATGGCATTAATACCAACCTGCTGCAAATGCAAATCAAATGCAGTGATTGAGTAGGTGGCAGAAGTTAGAGTAACTGGGTAGCTTGGCTACATTATCCTGCATGTGAGAAACCAAGATGGGGTTTATGTCACCTAACTCTAACGGCATAGACTACCTTTATGTCCAGTGGAGAAAAACAGCCATTACAGAAGACCACTCATCCTTGTCATCTCAGACACCAAGCTTAAAAGTGCCTTAAAATTACACTTTTTAGACATTTGGACATGACATAAATTACCCTCTTCACCTGCATGATGTCAGATCTTTAAATGCCTGTAAAAGCTAGCTGCTCCCATGTGGTTACAGGAGCCCTGTGTCAGGATGTCCATCCTGCTGCCTTTAAGTATATCGCCTCTGGTCCTGATAATGTGTTGTAATAAGCGTGTGAGCGACAGGTCTTTGCAGTCACGGAAGCAGTGGCTGATACAAGGTTTACCCAGTACCAGATTCTTTGTTGATTTTAACACTTCAGCTGTCTGGAGTTTGTTGGATGATACAGGCATACAGGGGAGCAGAATTGCTCAGTATCGTCCGGAACCATTGATCCTTCTCTCCCAAGTGTGAGTCTAACTGTAGTCAGTTTATGGTTAAGTACATTTTCTCCTTGAGACAGCAATGCAGCAAGATCTATTAGGTTCTCAATCGTCTTAACCTACTTGTCAGCCAGCCTGATAACGTTTATTGCTAAATACATATGCAGAGCAATTAGAATAAATCTAAACTATTATTAACTACTTAAAAAAAAAAAAAATTACAAAAAAAGAAACCCTAAACATACCAGCCTTGCTACCCACAAAAGGTACTGGGGATAGCAACAAATAAGGGAGTGATGGTATCACCTGAAGGTGCTCTGTGATGCTTATCAGCCAGTCTGTGGTCTGACATCATTGGGAAGCAATATGTTGGGAGACTCCCAGAGCCTTCTGACTTCCTGCTCCTTGTGATGCCTGTTTGCACTTTCCTTGGCTGCTAAATCTAAGTGATAACTTCATGCCACTCAGAGGTGGTTACACACAGAAAGTTGTATAGTCTGTAACACAGTGTATGGATTGCTCTAAGTGACATATAGGAAGAAGGAGGGAAGGCTTGCAGATGAAAATCTCAGCTGGTTCTGATCCAGTCTGCATCTCCAGTTACTAACAGGAGAGGTATATCCTGACCCTTGTTCGGCAGATACCCACATCATGTTAGGCACTACCAGTGAAGAAGACTGTGGACATCTGTTGCCCTCTCTCCTGGGAGTGAGCAGCTCTGGGGAAAATTATGGTTTCCAATGCTTTTGTTGAGTGAGAGATAAGTTAAAGAACAGAAATCCTATTCACATCACAGTGGCAAGGCTTTTGTACTTATGTCCTGATGTAAGAAAGGAAAAAGAGTTTTGACAAAACATCAGAAGTTTTGACTCATATCTTACCCTCTCCAGATTAAAAAAATATCTCAATAACTAGCACTCCTGCAGTATATGTACAAATCAGATCCAAATCCCATTTACCAAGTATGAAACGGAGTCTGCTGTGTTACAGGTGACTATCCTAATGAGCTAACAGTGGAGGTGGAATTCACTTTTCCATTTTCTTTTCATCATGCCAATCTCAAGAAATATTTGCAATTAACGTTTCACTGGTTCCAACGCCTGGACAAAGCATTTCTGTTCTGATACAGAAATATTTCCAGAGGAAACTATTAGAAATTTAAAAATTTATGTTTAAAATTTCATGACCTGTGTGAAATGACTCAGATCTCTCTCCCAGCATGATTCAACAGAGCCCCTGTCATGTAAATGGGGTGACACTGATTTACTTCAGACCAAGAAGCAGCCTGAACTCTGTGGTTACTCCCTTGCTTACTGTTTTTTTTTCCCCGTCATGGTGCAAATTCTGTTACTAAGTATGACGCATGGTTGAAAAATACAAAACAAAGCAACTCTCAGTATATGAATGCTTGATTCCACCATTAATTATGTGTCTCTCTTTGCTTTTTCTTACAGATGAACAGACCGATCCAGGTGAAACCAGCAGACAGCGAAAGCCGAGGAGGTAGTTGACTGCATTGCTTTCAGCCGTTGTGCTAAGTATAATTGTTGTCTCTGGCTTCTCTCAGGCAATGTGCTGATCAATTAGTAACGTAATCACTGCCAAAGAAATTCCCTTTGCAGCTAAGATTCTCTTTATTAAATCTCCTTTACTTCGTCTCACTTTCCTCATATTCAATTATTATTTGATTTTAAAAGGCAGGCAGGTGCCAGCAATTGCCTGGGAAACAAATATCTGCCTAGTTAAGAAGTGAAGCATCAGGCCCTGATTTAACAAAGTTTAACAGCGGTACGGCAATGTGGGTTTTTCTGACCCATGTTGGACTGAGCTGCAGAAGTGTTTAATTTTGTTAGGATGAAGGAGATATGTTTTCTCTGATCATGTTGTTTCTGCTTGGGGTGAAGCATCTCTGCTTTTGGAAAAAGCAAATTCTGAGGTAACAGTTTTCTGCACCTGTATCAGCTTATCTGGATAAACCTGTTGTGGAAACTGAAGACTTCTCTCATTCCCAGGGAGTTATTCAGGATTTGCACAGGTGTAGCTGAAATCAGGAGCTGGTCTTTTGCTTTTCCATCCTGCACAGTGGATTTGGAAGGCTTTGCTAAGTGACTGTTCAATAGATCACCAGAGATAAGGTGTTTCCTGTAAAAGGTTTTCTACCAGAACTGATGTAGTGATACTTCACCGCACTCTTCTAACAGAGGCCTGTTTGTCAGATCAAAAACAGAGCTCACTGAAAAAGTGTGAGATGGCCTGTTATTCTGGATAAATTACTATTCTTGTCTTTTTTTCTTGTATCTGCACATTTATATATGCTTGTATATATATATACATATACACGCACATATATAATGGTGCGGTGTTTCCTTCCTCTCTATCCCTATCTTTTTGGGAAAAAATAGAGAGACTTTTGCCCATATATGCAGTAAAAACATGAGTGTTTATGTATCTTGTAAACGTGGGAGTAGATTTTGTCATCTAGTAATGAGGTGGCTCTTAGATGTGTGAAAACTCTTTAATTTCCACCACAGACGTAAACTCTCCCTCATTTATAGGACAACTGTCTTCATGCTGGCATTAGTGGAAATCTCCAGCAACAGCTACTTAAAAGGAGTAAAATGCCTCACACACAAAAGGCACTGAAATTATGTTCTTTTTTCAGTTGAAGGCTTTGGATTCCAGAGGCTCTGACTGCGTCAATGTGAGGCTGAAACTCTCCAGTGACTCAAGTCATTGGAAGACTTTGTACGTTAGATTGTAGTTAAAGGGCTGATGTTATGGAGTGGTGAAACCAGCAGGATGACACAGACTCTGTGAGGAAGGGCTGTGGTGCTGTGCAATTGCAGAGCAGGAGAAGAGCTGAGTGCTGGAGAATAGCCAGAAAGCTCAAGGATAAATATTGCACTTTTAGTGTTTCCGTAAAGTAAATTCAAGGGAATTTGGCCAGCAGTGGGCAGAAAGTATTTGATGGGCTCTGCAATGTCAAGTTCTGCTATCAAGGGCCGTGGCGCATGTCTAAGTTGCAGCAAACGCATCTCACATCGTGCAGCATCGTTGGTGGTTTTTAACAGAAGCAGGTCAATTTACCCCCTTTCTCTTCCTGTCTGACGGTCTGGCTCCGTGTCTGAGTAGGAGTGGGTAAGCCATGAGGAGTTGTCAATGCCAGTCTCCTAGGGGAAAAGGGAAAGGCTCAGCTGCCTGGGTAAATGAGGGGACATTATGCACATTCCAGTGAAGCTCGTGCCGACAGGGAGAGTGAAGGGAGGGCCTTTTGTCTATTTAATTAGACATACCAAAAAATAATAATTAGGCTGGCCAATTTACTCAGTGCGCCTACAGGGTATATAGCTCCCAATCGCTCTTTTTGAAAAAAAAAATGCAAATCACTAATAGAGAACACATGCCTGGCTTTCTGGAAAGGGTTTTCAACCTCTTTTGCTAAGACCAGCTGCTTTCAGGAGGGGTGGTTTGAACTGCAAAGGGCTCCGGTGGTGGTTTGATTCCACAGTATCCATCACACCAGCAGTCCCTTTGCCATTGTGTTTTAGTTAATTATCTCCACAACACAAAGAACAGTCATCTTTCCTCATCCCATATTGCACCTACCGGTGGTGATCACAATGCAGCAGTCAAGCAGGTGCACTCATCATTGACGTGAAAGGCACGTTGTCCTAATTCCCCAATGACTAGATCCTTCTGGGCTGGGGATGTTTTGGGATGGCATGACTCAAGGGCAACTGTGGGAGAAAAGAACAATTGGCACCCAAGGGAGGCATTGTATGAAAACTTACGTTCTTCGTGAGCCCACTGGTAAAAGCAGGCACGGCAAACAGAATGCTAAAAAGGAGGCTGTGTATCTTAGGAACACATCAAAAGACTTCATTAGGGCTGCAAGATAAAGGTCAGCTTCAGCAACAAAGAAACTTAAGTTGTAGCTTATTATACCCCATCCGTATATTAGGATGGGATGTGAGGGAAGAGTGGGGCTTGGAAAATGAAGCAGTTCTTCCGCACAGCACAAGAATACCTGAATACACCCTGAATACACCCTGAATACACCCAGGATACTATCTTCTGGCTTATGGGTAATTTTGGTGTGAGGTTAAGGTATTAAAGAAAGAATGCAGTGAATGCAGCCTTTTTTCAATCTGTACTTTACAAGGAGGCTTTTACTGGAAATGGTGAGCAATATTCTTGAGGAAGCAAGATTGTGGTTTGTATAGGAGCAAATACCTGCATTTTGCTAAAACACAATTCTTCAAATTTTCCAGCAAGTTCTCCTTTCTTTTTTTTTACTCTCTCCCTCAATAAGATTCCACTCAGCACTTTTTCCTGTTGTTCTGGAGTCTGGATTTTGTTGGTCTTTAACCTTTCATGTGTCTTTATTCTCAGCTGAAGTGAAAATGGGTGTATTAGCATTTAGTGTGTGTGAGCTAGAATTTAGACTATCAGGTTTGGGGAAGAATTCAAAATGTTGCTTGGCACAATCACACTCAACCCAACAAAATGGAAATGCTGAGTGCCCCTTATTAGTTGTGCTGGTTTTATTATTTTGTTTGTTAATCCCCATATTGGACTAAGAACAAGACAAAACATGCAGTCCTTTTCAATAAAAACTGGCATTATTTACATTTGCCTAATCTCACAGGAACTAGAAATGAATGTATCCTCAGTACATTTCTCTAGGGAAACAGTCTAAATTAATGGGAAAATTTTGCATTTTGTGTTCCTGTTTTGCATGTGTGTGTATAGTCAAGCTACAGAATGTTATATAGGGGTATTCCTACTACAAAATGCTTCATGAATCTTCAAATACCCAATCAGAAGGTCAGAGTCCTTTGACATTTTATAGAGACTTTAGCAGTGATGGAATTGATAGAATGTGATAAAAAGGCAGCAAATCTGTATTTTGTTCTGAAAAGCCAGAGTGTAACTCTAGCTCTATTCTATCTTAAAAACTCTCATTGGCCTTTGTTTTGTCCAAATTTTAGCTTGACTATACAGAAGCTACTTTGCTGCAGATTGGGTAGTCCAGTATGGTTTTAGGGTTGTAAGTTATAGCTCCACATTAAATTCTGAACATACTCAATCTCAATTAACCTAAGAACTTTATTATTTGCATTCTGTTTATGATTTTTCTTGGTTCCTGGTCTCATATTCAGCTCTAAAAATAGTCTGAAGATACCAGTGACTTGAAGTTTTGCAAACTTAGGGAGAGATTGCTAGCCTGTTTTGTGGTTTGGGGCAAAGTTTGGAGCCATTTCTTATTTTATCCACAATATCTCCAGCTCTCACTAGACAACTCTCGCTGCAGCTGTCAGGGTTAACCCATGATAAACACAGCCCCGAGGTCCCACTAGGTTGTACAGGGAGAAACATTTTTTAAAAGGAAAGGACTCTCCTGCTGCTCTACTTGCACTCCGTTAGTAATGCTTAGATGCTCCATTGCTCCCACATTCCTCTCAAAGGACAGAACAAGGTCCATAAAGGAAGGCATGCAAAGATGCACAGTGTGCTACCTTGGCCCGGTGTTAATATCTCTACCAAGAAACACTTTGTAGTGGGTTTAGGTCCCTCCTGCATTTTATGGAAGAGATGCAGAATGTCCCTAAACTAAAGAGTATGATAAAACAAAGTCCAAAGTGGTTTAGAGTTGAAAGGGTGCAGAGATGACGTTGAGAGATTTCCAGGAGGGTCTGCAGTTCATCACACTGCAGCTTTTTCTACATGCCAGACTTCACAAATCTACCAATGCTTCTGCCTGTGTTTGTGCTCTCAGGCAAATTTTGTTGTGTATGTCTGGGGGAAGGCATGTGCAGTGTGTCTTTTTTTGTCTGCTGTTTGGAGGGCGTGATAGCAGCAGCTGGAAAGTTTGGACTTCACATTTCAACTGAGTTGCATCGCTTCTCTACCCGTTACTCAATGTGCAGGCTCTGAAATTATCTGCTTGGTTATGGTTTATTCCAGCTTTGGAGTCCAAGCACTTATTTACAGTAAACAGAAAAAAAGTGGTGCCTTGCTCATGCTCTATGATCTTTTGCTTTTTATTCCCTTCCATCAGTTCAGCAATGATGATAGGGCTGGAATGGCCTCTCCTCAATTTCTAAGCCTCATTTTCCTTTGGGACTAAAGTCTTATTTCATCCAGGTAATTTTTAACTTTCACAGCTCTCTGTTACGGCTGGCAGGGTTTACTGTGACAAACACAGCCCATGGCATTTGGCACTTAGCTGCTTTCCATTTAACTGATCAGAACTCTGTGTCTTGTGCAGATGGCCAAAATCTCTCAGGAAGCTTCCTGTCCAGGAACTAACCAGATTCAGGCCTGTTTAGGTGCCACAATTAAACAAGACTAGTTGCCTTCAGCTTAGTTTGGCTTCACACTGGCATAACAATGCCAGATGGAATTATTTCCTTCTTTGGAAATGCCATGCAAAGAGTAGAGTTGCTCAGACCTTCAGACTATGGATGGGTGTGAAGAAGAGAGTAAGGGTATGTAAGGAG